GCTTGAGACTGTTATATCTATATGTGTGTGTGTGTGTGTGTGTGTGTGTGTGTGTGTGTGTGTGTGTGTGTGTGTGTGTGTGTATTTTATTGCTGTATAACAAACTACCACAAACTTAAGTTAAAACAGTATCCATCCACTAGCTCACATTTCTTTAGGTCAGAAGTCTGGCACAGCATGGCTGGGTCCTTGGCTCAGAGTACCACAAGGCTGAAATCAAGGGATTGGCCAGGCTGAGTTCTCATCTAGAGGCTCTGGGGGAAAATTCTCTTCTCAGCTCGTTGTTGTTGACAGAATTCAGTTCCTCACCTATGTAGGATTGGGGTCCTCATTTCCTTACTGGCTGTCAATTCCTAGAGGCCAACCGCATTCCTTGCCACGTGGTCTTCCTCTTCTGCAACCAGTTGAGAAAACTCTGTTTTTAAAGGACTCATTTGATTAGGTTAGACCCACCAGAGTAATCTCCCAGTCTTCAGGTCAATTGATTTAGGCCCTTAATTAAATCACTACAGTACCTACATGTTCACTTAAACAACTAAGAGAAGTTGTGTGTATACTAGGGGCCGAGAATCTTGGGGGACCATCTTACAATTTTGCCTATAGTATAATAACACATGCTTTTTTTTCTAGCCCCTTATCCTGCTTTATTTTTCTTCATAGCACTTATTGACATTATATTTTCTATTTATTCAGTTATGTTTTTAACTTACTGTACACACTAGAATATAAAAGGTCTCAATGATACTTTGTTGTTATTGTTCAATGTTGTATTCCTAGCACCTAGGACAATGTTTGGTACATTGTAGGTACTCAGTTAATATTTATTGACCGATCCAGTTAATAAAAAAGACTATGGCATATAAATTTGATGACAGCGGAGATAAGATTTTTTGGAAAGGGCAGATTAAGCATATAAATGTTACTTAAGCTTTAGCTCCAAAGGTACCAGAGTCTCAAATTATTTATTGGCCTTTCTTTGGATGGAGGATTTCTTATTTGTCTATTAAATAATAAGTCATAAGTAAGTAATTGTATAAACGTCCAGTAACTGGTGTATACAAAGAAAAGCAAATTAGCTTTTTTGCTTGCTTATTATTAGTAATAATAATAATGCTTTCACCTTTCAGTTTCCATCTACATATCTCCAAATAACATCTTCCTGTGAACTTTGGGAAATGGATGCTTAATCATCCAGCAATATTCCTGATTTACCAACTTACTGTGGTATTTCTGTGACTTTCCATGTTAACAATGTCTATTTACTAATAGAGTAATAGAGTGAATGCCATCATATAGACATAACATAGCATGCCAGACTAGAAAATTATACATTTCTCTCATTTTCAGTATTTATTGTTATATGTTTCTTTTAATCTACCCCTATAGACAAAACTTGCCAATGGCACTTCCAGTATGATTGTGCCCAAGCAACGGAAACTCTCGGCAAGCTATGAGAAGGAAAAGGAACTGTGTGTCAAATATTTTGAGCAGTGGTCAGAGTCCGATCAAGTGGAATTTGTGGAGCATCTTATATCTCAAATGTGTCATTATCAGCATGGGCACATAAACTCGTATCTTAAACCTATGTTGCAGAGGGATTTCATAACAGCTCTGCCAGGTATGTCTGTGGGTGTTTGTGAGCCATTAATTTGCCTGGAAGATATGTTACAATGGTAATGGTACTGGATCTTCAGCTATACACCTCTCTTTTTAAAAGTCTTTATTGGCTTGATTTTTATAAATGGAGTCCTTTAACTGCACCTTCTTGGAGTATAAATACAAAAAATAAAACTTTGGAAATCAAACTCTTTTTCCCTTTGTTCTCCCTATCTGTTCACCCTGTTTTTACCCACACACTGGTCCACATAACATCTTTTCTGAACCATTATCTTTTTTTCTTTACTATGTTCTTTTAATATATTTTCCCAAGTATTTGTTCTTTAAAAACAAAAATTTTATAGGATACGTATTCTTTGTAATAGATGAAGTGCATATTATTTAATCTCTTTATTGAACATTTGGGTAGTTTAAAATGTCTTTTTCTATAATAAACTATTCTGTGATGGACATTCTTATTCATTAATCTTTTGGACATCCTATGGAAAAATGCCAGAAGTGGGATTCCTATATTAAAAAATTGTGAACATTTTAAGATTTTTATTACGTGTCAAACTATCCTCTAAAAGATACATACCAACTTACACCCTCCCTAAAACTGCTTATTACCACGTTGCTTTGCCAAATACATCTTTTTTAAAAAATTGTTTTTTCAAAATTGCGATTTGAATTGCCCTGTAAAACAAAAGAAATATCTTTGTATATCTTAGGAATAAGCATTTTAAAGCTGAATTTGTACCTGTATCTTTCGTTAAATAGAATAGATTTCTGCCCCCTCTTCACTCATTAGATTTTGTTTTAGCCACAGGCAGTTTTCTTTGTGTGAACAACCTGTATGTACCTCATTACTGTACTTTCCTCATTCACTGAGACATGCTACTATCTCAAGCATATACCACTAAAAATTGAACAGGAGTTGATTAGACTAGTGTATCCTTTGCCTAATTCTGATCCTTGGTGTGTATCTGCTGACCACTTTATAAGATATTAAATCATCAGTCTAATGCTTTACAGCCATTTTAACTTATAAACTTACACCATCTGGCTACATTTAGTAAACCAAACTACTTCAAAAACTGTCTGTAATCCATTAGTGTAATGGGTTTGTTTGGAGTGTTAGGTGAAATTACTTCCAAAGACTTGTTACAGGGACATAATGAAAGATCAGGAGCAATTTGATAGCAGCCATTAAAAACAGAAATGGATTTTGGAAACTTCTGATGGTGTAGAAAGTTTCACTATAAAAATGCAGGAATTGTACCATCACTATATTTGTATTTTGCATGAAGAACTAATTATTATATCTTTAATTGGCTTATAGTTATGTTCCTTTAATAAGAATGAGGTGATGGATAACTCCATCTGCTTATACTTAAATATGAACATGTGACACCAGCCAAACAAGATCCATTTAATGCTTTCTTTTCCAAATCTATACAATATGACTGATATCCATACGATCTTTATAATTAGAATAATGTTTAAACACATTTGGATTTTTCCTAATGGCATCCAAGTATATCTTTGTATGATTCAGGGGAAAAGCACAAAATGAAATATGGTATTCTCTTTCCTGTTTGTTAAGTTTCTGCCTAAGGGAGTGCAAGTATGAAGGTATCCTTATGCACTGTTTAAGTCTTTAGCAAAGCTCTGATATGTAACCTGTAAATAGAAATGTTTTTGAATGTTTTTGTCTCACTTGTGAATTAGAACAATAGCCAAAAGGTTTATTAGTGCGATCATCCTGTTTTATAGGATATATTCCTCTGAGGCCTCAGTACAGATTTGGGTGGTAGAGAATTTTAATTGGGAAACCTGTCTAATTTACAAAGCCCAAGATCTACTTCCACTGTTTTGCTCTGTATACCCTACAAAATAGTCTCTGAAATTCTAACCAAGTTATCTATTGGTCTGGGATTTTTTTTTTTTTTTTTTTTGTCAGCTGTCATTTAGGTTTTATAGCAGCAACTATTCTCAAATATAGGTGTTTTTTTTTTTTTAAGCATCTGAAATTAAACTCATCCTTGAACTTAAACATACCTCTCTGTCTTTCCTCTTGGGATGTTCCCATACCAATCTGTATTTCCTCCTCCTCTCCTTTCTGCATGCCCAAGATTCTATAACCCAGCACATTCTGACTTAGTACCTCTCCCCCAGTACATTTAAAGGATATTTCTTTTACTGAACAGCTTTGGAACTGCAGCAGTAATAGAAACAGAATGAGAAATGGACCTAATATAGAGATTTGGGGGGGGTCTGAATCACAGAGTTTGAGATGCCATCCATAGAACATCCCCTAGTGCTGAAATCCATACAGATAGATGTGAATTTTTTTCTGGAATCCTTTTTATTTTTAATGTCTTGGGGGGTTTGCTGGATGTTAGTTTTAACTTTCTTATCTAAAAGAAGATAGAAAATACTGTTCATTTCTGTAACCTTATGGAAAAATTATAGACACTCATTTTACCCAAGTCTCTGTTTGAAAAAGAAACTGTACCACACTAGGGACAGTGATATGCCTTCATATCAGAATAAATGCTGTTCTGTTTTAAAGGACCTTTTGTAAAAAATCATTCACCACCCGTGTTCTTCTTGCCTCCTCCCCCCACCAAAAGCTCGGGGTTTGGATCACATTGCTGAGAACATTCTCTCATACCTGGATGCCAAATCACTATGTGCTGCTGAACTTGTGTGCAAAGAATGGTACCGAGTGACATCTGATGGCATGTTATGGAAAAAGCTCATTGAGAGAATGGTCAGGACAGATTCTCTGTGGAGAGGCCTGGCAGAACGAAGAAGGTGGTGAGCCTTTTAATTTTCTTGCTATTTTATAGAGCTTCAGGACTTGACTGTTCAGTCATTGGAATATCGTTGGGAACCAGTGACACCATTTATCATTTAATACAGTGATTTTGCTGGTTTATAGCAAAAAAAAATGTAAAATAGTTGTCCATGTACGTGGCAGTTTTTCTTCTGACCAATCACTCATAAATGACAAAATAATGTGTGTTAATACTGCTTTGCAAAAATAATGAAAACCTGACCAGTCCTCCCATTTAAAGCATTCTGTTTTCTGGACAGAAACAGTATCCTGAAAAAGGGCTGATGAGCAGTTTATAAGGCAAGTAGATGACTTTTGATCACATAGAAGCCATCAGATCCAGCTTTCTTCCCCTGAAACAGCCCAGAACAAATAATCATATTCTCCTTCAGAAGATTCCTTGCCTTTAGCCCATGCCTGTGGTGTTTTATCACCTTTGTAATCAAAATTATTTTTATGCCCAACTAGAATAAGAACTATAACCATCAGAAAATGTGAAGAATGGAATTTAATATATATAATTGTTTCTTCATAAGACTCCTATATTTTCAAGGTTTTACTTAATAGTAAATTCCTTAAGGCATTATATAGTTAGCAGCCTGACACTTCACCAATTTTGTTGTTCTCTTAAACAAAACGGTACCATTTCATTAGAACTTCTGGAAGATGTCTTTTTATATAACTTGATCTCAGAGGATGTCTCTAGAATGTCACTATAAGAAAGTCAGGTGTGACTGTTTCATAAATAAAATAAAGGTGACATATTAGGTATTTTAGTTGATAGATATGCACCAGCAGGCACATGTGTGCTCATTGTTATCCTGAGCAATAAATTTTAGCAATTGTTTATTATGGATCATAAAGAGAGACAAAACAGTTAAGACTAAAGGATCAGCTTTTCTTAGCAATTTTCATAAAAAATATAGTTGGTGTCCCTTTTTTTGCATTTTGAAATTTATTAATATATAATAAACATACCTCTAAATATTATACCAAGTGCTTCAAGAGATTTCCATCATTTTAGTTACTAAGAAGACTTTAAAATTTCTCTCAAATTCAACTAAAGGAAGTAAATGCCAGGCAATTCTTTGGCTATGTAAAAATTGCATAAATGATAGTATATTTTTCTAAAAATGTTTTTCTTATCCTCACTTATGTCACTATATAGAAAAATGGAACCTTATCCTTTATAACTTATTTCATACTTTGCAAATGAACTCTTTATAGTGGAAGAAAGCAAAATAGTTTATAGTTGTATGGCATTCAAAGTCCATCATTTGGTTAAGCATTCCAAGACCAGACAGAAACAGAGCAGGTGTTGCTTACCTGGGGAAATTTTAAGGCAGCTAGGAGTATTCCTGTATCCCTCAGGGGGGAAAAAAAAAGAGAAAAGAAGTTCTCCTCCAAACAATTCCTGATCTGAAATTTCCGTTACAGAGATTCATTCCCATAGCTATAAAGGTTTTTTCCGTGTTAAAATATACTTTGTTCCCATTTGAACTGTAAATGAACAGCGAACCCTTATTAGACAAAGTCTCTTTTTGAAGATAAGGAGAATATGAAATAGATGGGCAGATTTTGGCAGATGCATGTGAAAATGCCAAAGGTAAACATAGGCATCACAATTTTTTTAGGGTCGGCACTAAACAGTAAGCTATTATGTTAATTACAAAGAAAAAAATAAAGATCATTGAAGAGTTGGCTTTTTGGCCTTAAAAAGGTTATGTAAAAGATATAACTGAGAAATAATCCAGGAT